ATCCAATCAATACTATTCGTTTCCTTTAGAGACCACGTTTTGTGTCCTTTGCGATCAAGCCTGTCAAGCTCTTTTCGGGCTTGGGATAATCGGGACGGCCCCCCAACATGTCTACCGTTTCGGAAAGACCCATCCAGTGGGCAGTCTTGGGTCGTCGGTTGGGCCAGTCTGTGCCGTTCTCCTCGAGATCTTCCACTCCGGAGAATACAACCTCGGAGCCCTGAATACCAATAACTGAGGCACTCTTGGGGTCCTTCTTAACGTGGTTGTGGGCGTTGCGCCCGTAACCTTCGAGGTGCTGGATACACTTGATGGCCAGACGGACAGCTCGGCAACGATCCATGGGGGAAGGAACACCACCCTGCTGGACGTGACCAGGAATGCTCTCTCGACTCTCGAATCTATCGTGAGCCTCCTCGCGGATAATGTCGGCAATCAGCTTTGCGTTGTAGACCTTGCTGGCCTTCTCATTGACGAGAATCAGACGTCCAGCACGAGTCTGACCCTTGTCCTTTCGGAACACTTCCTTGAGATGGTTGACATCAGAGTTGAGCATCTCGAGGGAAATGCCTTCTTCAGGGATGTACACGGCTGAAGCACCGACATCGAGACCGGCCAAGGTAGCAATGTAACCGGATCGACCTCCCTGGGTCTCGATAACAAACACACGACGGCGTGTGGCAGAAGCGGATTGCTTGATCTTGTCACAGTAGTTGACAAGCTCGTTCAAGCAGGTGTCAGATCCCAGAGAGTATTCTGTTCCGGGAACGTTGTTGGAGATGGTGGCAGGGAGAAGGCACATGGGGATGCACAGGGAGGGGAATTGCGCCCTAGCCTTGCGCATCTGTGTGACGGAGTGGAAAGCCTCGAAACCACCAACGATGAACAAAGCATCAAAGTTGTGCTCCTCGATCAAGTTGGCAATCAGTTCCATGCCTGACTCACCAGGGAGTTCTCTGTTTGTGCCAATCTCGGAACCACCCTTGCTTGCCCAGCCATCAACCTCGAGCCAGTCGAACGGACGAACTGCACCGAGGGGCTTATCGTCGTGGTGTCGCGCAAATCCAGCGAAACCGTTGTGGATAGCAAGAGGCTCGTGGCCCTTTGAAAGACAGTATGCGACAGCCGCGCGAACAGCAGCGTTCATACCACCAGCAGGGGCACCGACGTTGATGAACCCGATTCGCATGCGCTAAGCGTACAAGTCAGCAATGTACAGCAATGGGATTGAGTGTGAGACTTACCTCCTTGTCAGGCAACTTCGCGTCGTCAACCATAACATTGGTTGTCAACATGTAAGAGTTCCATTGGTCGGCAAACTCAGCATCTCGTAGAGACATAGCCTTATCGAAGTCCTTGGCGTCAACAGCCTTGGCAAGTTCCTTGGTCTCAGCAACAGCTTGCATCAGAGGCTTTCGAACAATCTTGTTTTCGTTGATGGCGATAAAGGGAGTTTCGGTCTCGGGAGTAGCTTCGAGGACAGCCTTGACGGCTTCCACGCCCTGCAGGGTAGCGAGCATTCGGTCGTAGGCAACGGCAGTGCCACCTCGTTGAACGTGACCGAGAGTGGTAATACGGGTATCGAGAGCAAGGCCTCCCTCGCTCTTGTCGGCTAGGATGTCCTTGATTTCTTCGGCTCCGATCTTGGTTCCGTTGTTGTCGCGGGCACCCTCGGCAACAATGACAATTGTCTTGCGCTTTCCGAGCGCTCGATGCTGTAAGTCGTTAGCGCATACGTCTCATGAGAAATAGGTTACAATATAAAACTTACTCTTCTAACAACGACCTTCATTTCTTCTTGCCAGTCATTCTCACGAGGTCTCTCGGGAATAAAGACAAAGTCTGCGCCAGTTGCGACACCAGCCATGAGAGCCAGCCAACCGCAGTGTCGTCCCATGACCTCGACGACGAAGGCACGCGAGTGTGAAGAAGCAGTCGCCTCGACGTAATCAACCATCTCGCAAATACGGGCGAGCGCAGAGTAGCAACCAATGGTGGCGTCTGTTCCTGTGAGATCATTGTCGATAGAGCCAACAAGGCCTACGATGTTGAGATGCTTGTAAGGTGTAGTTTGTTCCTCCTTCAACTCGCCCTTAGAAACAAGCTCCTCCAAAAGAGAAGGCCATTCAGCTCGGAACTTGTCAGCACCAGTCAAGGATCCGTCACCACCGCAGATAATTAGAGCATCAATGCCAGATAGAACCATGTTCTTGGCGGCTGTCAATCGACCGGGACGCTCGTAAAAGGCCATGCATCGAGCAGTACCAATGAGTGTACCACCCTCTCCGAGGTAGCCTCGAACGTCGTCCCACTGTACTTGTCGGATGAAATCGCCGCCCTGGACCAGACCCTCATATCCCTCATAGACGCAGAAGGCGTCACAGCCCATATGCAGAGACATGCGCACGACAGCTCGAACAGCAGCGTTCATACCAGGGGAGTCACCTCCCGAGGTCATAACAGCGATCTTCTTCTTGGGAGCCATGGTTGTGGTTTCGAGTGATGATGGCGGAGGAGGAATGGGTTTTAGGGAATGTCAGTCGATTAAGCTCTGCCAAAGCTTATTGCGGAAATCGCGTTGAGTAAGTTTAGGTAGCCAAGCCGTTCGGAGAAAGAAAAAAGCGGCGGGGCTGAATGCAGATAGTGGTATGTAGCTCAACTCTAGAAGGGAGAATATATAATGAGACACAGATTCAGCAGCAATTGGGGGAAAGCATGATACTCACAGGAGGAACAAAGAAAAATAATAAGAGCGCCGGCTTCAACGGATGATATTGATAAAAAATCGTGTCACCAGAGATGAATGGGGGAAAATCCAATTATTATGGCACCAGCTTCATGGTCCGGGCAGACAGAGGTCGGTGACGCAGGTCAGGATATCGATAAGTGAGGACATGGAGGGGCAGGGAAGCCAAGACTTTCCACTGACGCAGTTGGTGGAGGGCCATGATGGAAAAAGAGCTCTTATCGCTTATCGGCCCGCCGCGGGGTGATTTTTCCCTCTATTTTTTCCCTCTACCAAGGTGAGCTGGGCCGCTGGGTTCCAGTATGATGTGATGTTTAACGCTCACCTCACCTATTTTCCTAGTCTCGGTGCTTTATGCTTGCCTGCACCTCCTGGATGCCCTCTGGACCCTCTTCCCACGCACAATAGAAGCCGTTGGAATAATAACGCATACTATTTTGGTGTCAGGTCCACGTTTCGGCGGCATTGGATGTAATGGTACAGCATCTCAGTGGGACGATGCCCTACCGTGAGACGTCATAAGCCCGCATTCATTCTGTTGGTTTGTCCTGACCAAGGGACACGATGGGATTTGTTACCATATGCCAGATCATGAATACATAACAAATCAAGTGTTGCTTTTCAAAAAATACAATATGTTCACTTTTCAATGCCAACATGAATAACCAACTACCAACACACCAAAAGTCTTGACATACATAATCACCATCCTGGTCTATCATGATCTACCGCTTTAGCTACCAGCTGGCATGCAGCGGTTCGTGGGGCTGAAGGGAGAGCACCAGTAGCCAGATCCTGCAACGCAGGGCAGGCGATTGTTAAGACAGGCTTTACTGCAAGATCGAGCATCTCAAGACGATCGAGATGCCAATATTCATCAATTGTCAGGGGCTCCGGCATGGATGACCGCATCCCATCGTATGCATTTTCTAAACACGCCATTCGCTTCACCGGCATGCCGCAACGCAACCCTTAACGTCGCTGGCCTCAGATGCCTCATATTCAACCCATTAAACTGGCACCAAAGACAAGGGTGATATTTAGGAAGAGATTTGACGCCCGAACTCAAGGGGAAGGTGTGACGGCTTATAACGCCGATTTGTTCGTGTTCCAACTATACAACAGCCTTACAGTTTGATGAGGTTGTATATGAACCCATGGTTAACAACCAGAGGCAGTCAAGAATTGATTCGGCCAAGTATGATTCACGGGCATATCCATTGCAGTCATTCAAGACAAAAACCAATATTCTTCCGGGCATTACACAGAATACTATGGTAATGAGGAAATCAAGCAGTAATGGAGCGATAGTCTCTAAGAATATAGCTGAGGTAGGTAGTGCTGCAATGCAAGCTCTAGGGTGGCCAACATATCGGCACTCAGATCTGACATGTCATTGAGCAAACTTGTAAGACAAGTGGACAACCAAGACAGGCAGGTTATGATGATCGTAACGAGGATTTGATGTTTCTGCCACTGAAGTCCTGTATTCGTAGCCCGAAGGCGCAGGCACAGAAGTAAAACGCCAAAGATGCGAAATATAGGTCCTTCAGGGGAGTCATGCGGTTGCAGATGCTGTTTTATGCGCTGGCAAAACTCATCACTTCACAGTGGGACGAAATGGTTGGCCTGATGTAGCAGTAGAGCGCGTCTGGTGACTTGGAGCGCCAAGCGCTGAGTCGCCAGGACCCTGAAGAAGCGCCCTTGAACATGACGACAGAGGCCTCAGCAGGGCATCAGCTCATCTCAACCCAGGACTCGGTCAAACAAGGCTCATTTCAATGCAAGTCTGCCTCCCTGATGTGCAGTTGTTTCCTTTCGCTACGGCGTACCCAGTCCAAGTTACGAAGCTTGCAAATGAACAAGTGGCGCAGAGAGACCAGGAGCTTCAGACCAGGTGACCTTGATACCCCAGACACATCATCACTGTCACTGAAGCCTCGGGATAAACAATTGATGCCGGTAGCGAGATTCACGTCTGATCTTCTCGGCATATGTCCGTGATCACGCTTGTCAATAATAGTGTAATGGCCGCTTCAGTACGGCGCAACGGATGGCAACACCTAGCCGACTGTCCTGGCTTGCTGAAGACGGATGGCTACAGCTCGATAATTCCTGGAGTGACTTGACTCGAGTTCGTCCCGTCGGGAAGTACTCCGTGGTCAGGCGCGGTGCAGAAAGGCAGTAATCAGTCATCAGTCGTTACCCGCCTGTGTTTCCACCGCGTAATGAAATTGTCCTTTGTTGTCACCAAATGAGTTTCCCAGGCAAGATCACTCAAAGGTCCGTGGCCGCTTGCGGAGGCGAGGTGCAGCGAGCGGATGGCAAGGAGCGAAACCTGGGGCTCGTTGTTATCACGGGGTCACCGGACTTTGGGAACAAGACAAGTCAATGGACGGATCCCCACGAATCTTGGCCTCTCCTCTGGGGTTTCCAGGGCGAGAGTCACTAGCAAGAGTCTCATTTCCAATCCCGGATCATCGAGAATCACGTCAATTCGCCGTTGTAATCGGGGCCAGAACTGCAAGCGGACCAATTGACGCTTCAACGTGGGCGATGCTGACGATGGTCCGGGTTGGGATTGGAATTGACCTTCAATTCCATAGGCAACAAAACACCATCAATCAACATGACCGTCCATCCCCAGGTTCTTGGCAAACAAAGGGTTTTCAGGGTCTATCATGTGCCCTGAAGCTATTGAACTAAGTCATCTAGAGGACACTTTCTTCCTGGCCAAGTTTCACGAGTCTTAGTATTCTCTGCCTTGAGCGCGTTAATACCGCGGTTAATTCGGGCCAGAACAGCACAAAGCGAGGCTGCGCTCACCATCGTGACTCGTGATGGGGCCTCAGACCAGTCCCTGGTGGACAGCGGCTACAGGGGAACTCATCCGCGGGTATAGAAGAAGGATAAAGAGGTGGGGGCCTCAGTTCTGGACTCGGATGCCCGATTAGGTCTCAGTTCACAACGGAGCAAAGGACGTTCCAGAACGTCGTCTAAACGGAGACCAATACGTGCTTTTACGTTCTGGAGGCCGCTATAAAGACCAAGGCCGAGAGATTGACCGTTTTCGCTCCCGAGACCGCGTTCGTCTGTGCTTCCTCCGTTACTGTCTCAGGTCCCATAAGTTACTTGAAAAGGTAACTAAAGTATAGCCTAAAAGAGACTGGATCAGGACGTGGTGATCTAAGCTATAAAGGGTATCAAGTGACCCGCTGGCCGAAGCAGAACAAGTGCCTCTTCAGGTAAAGACCCGTGGAACTGGTCAGCAGGCAGTTTTTTGCCTCCCCCTCTCTGCCACCTCCACCCGCGTTCCTCTCCCCTGACAGAAGCCCTGTCCTTGTTCTGCTGTGTCGCCGAACAGGGCCTCCTTCCCCCACCTCACCTTCCTGTCTTCCCTGGTAGGGACGTGACATTGACAGGTTCTTTTTTTGGCCGGGAGACAAGAGACGATGGATCCTTTCAACTCTGTTAAATACAGAAACTGATGAGAAATAATGCACACGAGAGATTGTACAAACGTCAATTTTGCTCTGCTGAATATACTTCCAATCTTGCAATTTAACCTCCACATTTAAAATTGACTTGGTCATGCCTCTGTGCTACGCTGTGCTGTGCTGCGATGTGCTGTACATGCTGCAATCCATACATAAGTACATATGTACATGCTCACATACTAAACTAAAGATCCTACCCCACTGGAATCAATCACTCGACTCTTCCTTCACTCACTTTGCCTCATGAACAGCGAAAATCCTACTACGCCGCGGTACGTCCGACTTGTATTCAACTGAGAAAAGTTAGAGAATTGAGCTTGTGCTATTCGGGTAGTACCCGCTATTTCCAATCCCCTCCATCTCTACTCCTCCCGGTACGTACCTGAAGTACACTCGGCTACAGTGGCTCCCACCCCCTCTGGGCCCTTTTATCACCCCCCACGGTCCGACACCCCCTGAGCCTGGCGTGCGCTCGTGCTTGTGCTTGCTGCTAGACTCCATTTACATAGCGTACACCGCGACTCCCTTCCCCCAATCCGTCTTCCTACCCATGGGCCCAAACAGAATATCTACGTTTGATTCCCCCCCGGACTTTGTTCGTCCTCCTCCACATACTCATACACATAACACCAAATCAACCACCAAACAACCCCCAACATCCTTTGTTTTTGTAAAAAGGAACTCTGGGTCAAAGACAACTTGACCTCGCCTTTGCAATTACAATACATGTATACTCGAGGATCCCCATGAAAGGCAGTATCCATCACGACAACACTCTCACCCACCAAAATCGCCTACATTGACATCAACTCACCGCCCGCGATTAAGTCAACTCCACCTCGAAGATCGACTTGTATACTACGCTCTGGCGCATTGTCGGCTTTAATCTCGATCTACCTTGCCGGCTACCTAGGAATTCCCACCGATTGCACTCTTCAGCTCGACTTACTATAAATCCGTAATCGACCTCTTCACCACACACATTATGCCCTATCGCCTAGATACCCACGTCCTAACAGTGGATGCAAACGTCATCCACAAGGTCGACACTGGCAATCCCGCTAATTTGTATAGCATGTGGACTGGTGAGTCGCTTCCTGCATGTGTTCAATCATTTATATGCTGACCAGTCAGTTTTTTCTCGCTGCGCAGACTCCGTTGAACAAGGCCGAAGACTAGAGAACCTCAGCTGGCGACTCTGGCAAAGAGAAACCTTTGTTGTCGACAACGAGGAGAAGACTTCTCCTGCTACTGAGACCCTCCCCCAGAACATTCCATCCGAGTCAAGGATATCTGATCTACCTCAGCTGTCTGGCAGCGTCGACTCCCTTGTAGACGAGGAAGCTGTCGACTTCGCACCGGTATCAGCCCCACTTGAGATTGCCCGCCCTCGTGTACGACGACAAGACTCTTGCGCCAGCACCCGAAGCAAACGCGAACGCCACATCAGCTCGGACGACTTCGAGAAGATGATTGTTTCTATTGTCAAGGACAAGGGTCCTCTCTCCGCCCCTCCCCATGTTGCGCCAGTGGCCAAGCAGTCCCTGCCTGTGCCTCCTGTCTTCGAGCGATCTGGTTCTACCACTACCGAGTCGCAATCACCTGCCAAATCAACAACCTCTGAGGGTTCGCCACAGCCTTCGCCCCAGAGCCTCTCTCGCACCACTGTCGTGCGTGGCTTCTCACCTTCCCAGATCCCAACTCCCCGAACCATCTCTGGTGCTCAATTATCGCATGCGATCCCCGAACCCAAGTCTTCTCCTGCCGCAAAGGTGATTCAGTCTAAGAAGCCAGCTCGCTTTGCGCTTGGTGGCTCTTGTTCGTCTAGTGAGCAGGACCAGAGCTTAAGCATTAGCAAGCCTATCATTCCCATCATCAAGAAGCCCGTGTTCCAAATTGGTGGTTCATCTGAAGAGGATGGATCTCTTAAGAGTGCCATGGCTTCATCACGACCCAGTTCGCTCCTGTCTGCTCGCAAGAAGCAAGCTTCTTTCAGCAACAATGTCATGACCCGAACTATCGATGATGATGATGATGAGGCCGCTGTGGACTCTGACAGCGACGACTACATCGACGAGAGCGCCATTGATGATGATGACGACTCATCTGATTGGGAGGACTCTATGGAGGAGAGCGGCAAGTCTAGTATGGACGACCGATTCTTCCAGCGTGTCGACTCCAAGCCCAACTTGACTTCTCGACGATCTCTCATCACTCTCATGCTTACTCAGAATGACCGCGCACGCAACCTTGGTGGCCACGCTTCCCAATCGACATCAGCTATTCCCCGATCTCGATTGGTTAACGGCCCTTCACTGGCTGCCTCGCCTAATGATTCCGACGAGGCCCCCTTGATGATGAAGGGTATGCGCGGTCCTGGCCTGAAGCCTATTCACGAGGTTCCCAGGTCTACCGCCCAGCCTATCATGACTGGTCCTAACCACCTCCAGCCTCAGGCTGCGCTGTCACCTCGCACAACTCGCCGCAACATGTTGGCGACTGAGTTGACCGAGTCTCTTCGACGTCACTTGCTCTGGGAGCGACAGCAGAAGTCCTCGACAGCCAACGCTGTCCTCAAGCGACGACACACATCTCATGACGTTGCTAACTTGAAGCAATTTCCCGAGAAGCCTTGCATGAAGCAGAGCGAGGATGTAAACGCAAGCAGCTGGAACCAATACTTTTCCAAGGAGGCCAGCGACGGATACCACTCCAAGGGGTGGTAAACGATAATACCTACGCAATATTATACCATATGACACCGACACAGTTATACCCACAACAATTGTGCATTGTACGGCGCACGAAAGGCATCAGCACATCAGCATTAAGCGACTGGCTGCAATTGGCAGCATTTGTTTTATCAACTCATTTAGCGAAACGGGACTCGAGTCAATTTTTATTTTTATTTACCACTCATGGCGGGGACTCTTAACGATATGATACCATGAAATCGTGTTTTTAACAAGGCTGCGACGGGCTCATGGCTCCGTCATTAACCGGACTCGGGGCACGTGTACTAGTAGTTTTCATACGAATGACGGAAGATATTTAGGGGCAACCTGAGGATATGGATTCGTTATGAAGTTTTTTCTATGAGGAGAGCCAAGCAAAGGAGCACGGGGATGGTTATTAATTTCACTCAGGCGAAAAGAAGAGCCAGCAGCGGAGGAACAAAGCGAAAAAAAAAAGGTCGAACAATACGAGGCCTTGGGGGGAGGGGACATGAAAAGTACGAGAAGACCAAAAGGAGTTGTTCATCAAAAAAACCTGCAAAAGGCGAATTGTCTACTATGAGAAAGAGGTTTCCGCAAAAACATGAATAAAAATTTCCCATCGAACCACATAAAGTCCCGACAATAGTGAATGGAATGCATCGTGAAGTAATTTCCATGTAAATCTGAGGCATAACTGGAAATGTCACCTTGTGAGTTGTTGGAAGAGTTCCAAGGTTCCTGGATGAAGCAGGACATGACCTGGTATGGACGTCATCAATGGCTGGCTGGCTGGCTTTGAAAGCTGACCTGCTGGGGTCACTTTCACCCAAGACCAAGGTGGAGAAGGGTAAACAACAAACATGAACCAACCGAAACTCATAGCGGCCGTTTGATGCTGACAGGCCGAATTCCCATTGGACCGGGGATGTGAGCCTTCAAGCCTCAAGGCGTCTTTTTTTGTTTGTTTTTGGTGTGGCAGCCTAGACACAAAGACTCCAACCAGAGACAGACCTTGCACGGCTCGTGACTTGAACAATTGGCTTTTGGTTTTTGGAAAAGTAAGAAAGAAAGGAAAGAGGAGCAAAAAATGTTGAAAGAAATCAGAGTCAGAGGGTGAGTGAGCACATGTCAGAGACAGCAACATGAATGACCATTAATGTAGGGAGAATGTTGAGGATTTCACATGTAAAGTAGACCTATTCAAAATGACTGATGATCAAAAACCAAACTGTCGGTACTACATTAATTGCGCATATTAGTCACTAGAAAATAAAAAGAATAGACGAGAAATCTTTACGATAATTCCCGTAGTCTTCTCTTACTGTTGCATTACTAGTAGGCGGTCAATTCAATAGCTGTGCGTAGGTCGGGTGCGTGCCATGCTGCTGCTGCAAGCTACTTTAGCACAAGGCAGTGCGTTTCGTTTTGCAGCTGCTGACTGTCTTTCCTTTGTTGGGGATCCTGTCTGCATGAGGAGGAGGTGTTGCTGTACTAAAGAAGAGAGTAAAAGCAAGGCCGTATTGAGCCGCCTTCAGGAACAGAAGAATCTGTCCCTCCTTACATCTCAGTTCTGAGGGGAGAAGTGATATCCACCCATTGAGTTTTTCACGATACA